GAAATGGAGTGCTGTTTTCACATTGGAGTCCAAGTGTTCCAATCTGTGGGCGTTGCCTCTGCGGGCCCCGCCCCTTAGTTGTGTCTGGACCGCCCTTTCTTCATCCGGGCTGGTTTGGGTTTAGGGATGTACTGGTTGTTAGCCTGATGTTCCAGTTCCCTGCTGAAGTACTGGATGGTTTTGTTCAGACCTTCCTCCAGAGGAACCTGCGTGATCAAACACACAAACACACACGGCATTAGTTTCTCCTCCCTGCTTCGGCCTCACACCTAGAGTTTAGATCAAGCAACCTGACTTCCGGTTCAGCTATCCTGCTACCTTACTTTTCCTTCTCTCCTTACACCTTCCAAAGCTATTAATGATTATTATTTATAATATTAACTTTACTCTGCTGTTACAGCCAATGCATGCCCAAGGCCAGCCAGAAACAGATGGGCTCCCTCTCTGAGCTGCGTTCTGCTCAAGGTTTCTTTCTGTTTTCCACTGCCACTGTTGTACTATACTTGCGCTGAGGGGCTCACAGGCCTGGGATCAGTGTAAAGCTGTTTTGTGACAATCTGTGCTGTAAAAAGTGCTATATACAGATGCTCTGAGAACAGGATTACAAAGTGGACCTTTAAAATTCATTAAAGAAAAGTTTTCTCAGGGACAGATTATTCATGAGATGGGTAAAAACTATGAACTTTCCCTTTCAAAAGTACAGAGTCACAACTTTTCATACAAGGAATACAGAACTGACAATCTGGTTTGTCAATGGAAGCTTGTGGTCTGTGGAATCTTGCGGTTCCCATGACAATAAGGGTTGTTGAAACATGAAAGGGTTCCGAGAGTGGAATGTTCTGTTTCAGCATAAAGAGAGGAGAGCTCAGCATCTTATCTCATAGAGAATCTTTGCACGCACTGGGGGCGGACCTCTCCCACACTTCCACCCTCTGCACCCTAACTCCGATGTGAAGGATGTATTCCCATAGCTGAGAAGCACAGTGCTGAAATGAGGTGTCTGTATGGCAGCGGGAAGCTAATGAAACTCAGCAATGACTCACTAATCAGTTGAATAGAATGATGCTTGTATCATCCATTAGCATGGTTATGAAATATGTGTTATCCTCAATACTGTGTTTGTAATATTTATGCCAATTAAAGTTTCAAAACAAATGCCAACCAATGGGAGTTAAGCCAGGAACAAAAAATAGTTAAATTAGATGTGAGAAGTACATAGTGAATCAATAGCCCCAATAGGATTGCTTTGTAAATGCTGAGGGTACAGTGTGTTCAACAAAATGCCTTCCCTATATTTGTTTCCCTCGTATACCCTTCCCTAGGGGCGTTTTGCATTCAGGGAATATTGCTGCAATACTACTGCAGATGCAGTATAACAAATAAACAAAACCACAGCAAAACAAAAACACAATAATCATTGGTCACTGTCTCTTCACTAGAGGAACTATGAGTAACTTCACTTAAAAATTTGAGGACAGAGAGACTGACCAGGTCGACACCACTTTGACTTATCTACTTTTAGATCTGATTTGTCAATAAAATATTGCGGTCTCAATCACATTAAGGGTTGTTGAACAGTCAAAAGTTCCGTGGTGGAATGTTCTGTTTCAGCATCAAAGAGAACATAGTGAATCAATAGCCCCAATAGGATTGCTTTGTAAATGCTGAGGGTACAGTGTGTTCAACAAAATGCCTTCCCTATATTTGTTTCTCTCGTATACCCTTCCCTAGGGCGTTTTGCATTCAGGAATATTGCTGCAATACTACTGCAGATGCAGTATAACAAATAAACAAAACCACAGCAAAACAAAAACACAATAATCATTGGTCACTGTCTCTTCACTAGAGGAATTATGAGTAACTTCACTTAAAAATTTGAGGACAGAGAGACTGACCAGGTCGACACCACTTTGACTTATCTACTTTTAGATCTGATTTGTCAATAAAATATTGCGGTCTCAATCACATCAAGGGTTGTTGAACAGTCAAAAAGTTCTCGTGATGGAATGTTCTGTTTCAGAATTTCAAAGAGGGCAGCCAAACATCTTGTAGTGATAGACAGTCTTTGCTGACACCGGGCATGGTCAGTCCAGTGTTATGCAAGTTCACACAGTGTTCTGTGGATGTGCTTTGCTGAGAAGTGAACAGGCAGTTTCTTCTTCTGATGAATCATGTTCTCGAGTGGGTGTCCCTCAGAGTAAAGGCAGTGACTCAAGACAACTGAACCAATGACCTTAAACTCAATGCTGGCTAAAACTTGCTAGAACGACTCAAAGTTCTTTTTCGCTGAAAATCTGCTCTCTTTCTCAAGCTGTAACTTCCCTTTCCGGTCACTCGAGAGACTGAGTATCTGAGTATCCGCTACGTGATTGGCTATGAAATGAAAGTTTAACAGCTCTGTGATTGGAGAGTTTCATGAGGAACATTCTGGAAGGATGGTGAGTAGGGACTGCACCCACCACAGGCTCCCAGCCCAGGAGCATCTTGGCCTTGCGGATGTCGGGGCGTCTCCGCTGGGGGTCGTCCTGCGCCTCCGGGAGGAACTGGATCTGACTGCGGCTCACTGATGAGGGGGAGAGAGGATGCATAACATCAGCTCTGTGAAAACCATTAGCCTTACATACCAGACTGCTGTTACTGAACACCTACAGCCTTAATGTTACTCAAGCTACAGCCTTAATGCTACTCAAACTACAGCCTTTAACATTAGACAAACTACAGCCTTAATGTTACTCAAGCTACAGCCTTAATGCTACTCAAACTACAGCCTTTAACATTAGCCAAACTGCAACCTTAATGCTACGCAAACTACAGCTTTAACATTAGCCAAACTACAACCTTAATACTACTCAAACTACAGCCTTAACATTAGCCAAACTACAACCTTAATACTACTCAAACTACAGCCTTAACATTAGCAAAAATACAGCCTTAATGCTGATCATACTACAGTCTCAATGATACTCAAACTATAGCCTTAACATTAGCCAAACTACAACCTTAATACTACTCAAACTACAGCCTTAACATTAGCAAAAATACAGCCTTAATGCTGATCATACTACAGTCTCAATGATACTCAAACTACAGCCTTAAAAATCCAAAAATAACAGCCTTAATATTACTCAAAATAAAATTTGTCCTTTTTTACCCTTTTAAATTCTAAGAGGATTTAATGGATCTTATATTTGTATCTCGCTTCATATTTGCACAGACTTTTCATCTTATTCATAGGGCTGGGTTTTCTCCAGTGTCCTAGCAAACATTCCTCTATCTGGCTCGCCTCGTTCTGGCCCAGTTTCATTAGTCTAATTAACTCCTCCTCCTCCATCACAGCCGAATGATGTTCTCCATTGGAAACCGCTGCAATTATCCCTCCCTCACTAAGAGTGCATCAATCACACTCTATGGCAGGCGCTGTTTCAGAGATCTGGGCAGAGGGGGGATCACAAATGCTACCAATTTGAGATTGAAACGATTGTGATGACAGGTACTGCAACATGTCATTACCCACAATCCCTTTCACCGCCCCCTTGGGCCTTTGGAGCCTGGGCTTGCTACTTCGCCACATTCCTGGGCGACGGCCACGTATGGAGAAGGCAGAGACCGTCTGCCGAGCTCGACGTTGGACCCCTGTCTCTTCCTCCCACATGATCACAGCCTCAGACTTACTTTACCAATCGTTTTTCCCAATCACTCTTATTACAAGCAAAGAAAGAAATGTTGCAAAGAGGAGCTACTGGACTCTCAGTGTAGCATGACTCACTGAAACTCTATGCAAGGGGGTGGACTGCCACCCCCTGCTGGGGCTTTGGGAGGGGAGGGCAGGCAGACTCTGTCGATGAAGCTGCTGGTTTTTCCCCACAAACTCAGATAGAGCAGCCGGTCCAGGGTGAAGCTGGAGCGATACCCTGCTCTGTGCATGTCCCTGCTCTGTGCTGGTAACACTGCCATCTCTCCCACACAGACTGAGCTAATACTACAACTCCCAGAGGCCCAGGGGGCTTCTGCTCACCCGCTGTAAGAAAAAAAAAATATTCATAATATAATAGATAGAAACAGAGGTGAGAGAGAACAAAGGAAGAGGGAGAGATAGGGAGGAGCAGAGAGAAAGAGAACATGCAGATTTTTTCATCCCCACCCCTTGTTTTTTGTATTCTTTAGTTTGGGAAGCTATATGTGCGGGTTAGATGAGGACTGTCTTTGATTACCAACTTACCGACCAGACTCTTAATGAGCCTCGCAAATTCCAGTATAGTGTGCTCTTCTGGGTTCCCCTGAAAGGAAAACAAAAGAGAAAACAGTCTGTCGACACCGGTTCCAAAAACAGTGGGCGCAGGACTAACTGCAGTAACACAGTCTCATGATTATTTGGGCTAGACGAGGACAGCCCGTAACACGTCAACTTAGGATGCCACGCAAATGACAATGTGATGGGCGATTAGCCGAGGCTGACCGAGCATGTGATCACGCATTCGGCCGTGTGTTTGCCGCCACCTGAGACTGCGGAGGGGCACAGCTCATGGAAGCCGTGTGATGCTTGCTAACAGCGCTGCTAACGTTACAGTGCTCCTTCATTAGCACATACTGCTTCTTCACTGGAAAGTTGTGCACCCACTCCTCTAATGCAGACCTCTGTCACATGTCTATGGGGCCGAATCGTCCTGTGACTTTTCCTTGCGAGATGGCTGAGAGAAAGCAAGGCTGCGGTTTAGTTAATATTTCAACTGAAGACCTTCTGAGGAAATGGTTACTGCTGGAAGAGCTGTCTGTCATATTATCATAATCTTAATAATAATATAATTAGTAGTAGTTTTTGTAGCAGTTGTATAAATTATGTATAATAACAGTGTATATGACCTGTGTTACATTACTGTCATTTAGCTGACGCTTTTATCCAAAGCGACTTACAGTTGATTAGGCTAACCAAGGGCCAATCTTCCCTGGGAGCAATGTGGGGTTAAGGGCCTTGCTCAGGGGCCCAACAGCAATGGTGTTCTTACTGTGGCTGGACTTGAACCATCAACCTCAGGGGTCCCAGTCATGTACCTTAGCCACTAGGCTATAGGCTGCCCAACAACATGTCTTTACAGAACTCTTCTATAGAAAGTGAACATAAACACACTGCGAGTGCCTGCTGATGACATGATTCAGACATGTACAAAAAAAGGGTGCTATGAGTAGCGTTTAGCCCTGTTTCTTCTCTCCGCAGTGCTGTGCAGGATGTGTCAGAGAGATAATGCACTGTAGAGTGTGTGACCTGCTTCAGCTCTGTAGCCCAGGACAGAGAACAGCCACAGCCATGGAGTGCTTTCCGAGATTCAGAGCCCCGCTAACGGACAGCCAGAACCTTCCAGAGATGAGATCCCTTTCCTGGCCGAGTCCGCTGCTCGCGCGCAGAAACGCGGGAAGTTCCAGATCAGCGCCGGGGCCTTCCTGAGCCTCATCTTATTACTTTAAAATCCTCCAGAATTACGTCTCCGTCGATAGCCTGGCATTCTCCACCACGGATCTCCCCACAGCAGCAAACCCGTTTATACAGCGTTCGTCTACTTTATTGAGAGGTTTTATTTGTTTTAGTTCGTGTTGAAAATAGCCACCGGGCTTTAAGCGATCGCAGGTACAGCGATGACTTATTGAACGGGATATCTAGACCTTAAGTATACTTAAATGACGACTCATTCCCTCTATGCTCATCTGGGTGTGAGGGCAGCCCTGCTGTGGAAAGCAGAGTGAGTTTCTGAGTGAATAAGGGGGGTATTTTTGTATCTTAGAGTGTACTCTGGTTAGTAATAATAATAATAATAATAATAATAATAATGGAAAAACAACCTTTACCTACTTACTCTGAGTGTAATAACAGGTGTTCGATAACACTTGTTGAAAATCTAAAGACACAGCTGGCTCTCGGTTACGGGAGCGGAGACTTAACTGGGTGAGTCTGGAGTAGGAGAGAAACTGTCACTCCCGGACACTGATTCTCTCATGTGGACTGAACCAGGAAACGCATTCACCAGGTGACATATTAAGGAGGCCTGACTGCTGTCTCTCTGCAGATACGAGCGGATCGAAAAGTACTCGATAGGTTTCTAAAGTGGTCTGACGCACGGTGTAGTTGCCAATGGAAACCGAGCATTTGTCGGTGTTCTGTGCTGCTTAATGGTTTGCATCACTGACTTAGAAGTTCGTTTACATGGTTACATAATCTCCGCACAATACAAAGACGTATCCAGGGACTCTACTTACACTCTGGGCTTGCTTTCTTTTGTTTCATCTCTCTCTTTACAGTCTCGTCTAGCTTGCACATCGGGGTGGGAAATTTTATTTTTCTGACGTTTTGCACTATCGCTGGACTGGATTACTCCACTTTGAAACAAGGGACCATATTCATGAAGTACTGATCTCGGGTCAGCCGTCCTCTGTCCATGCTCTACCCTTCATTATTATCTCACAGGCAAGACTGATCCTAAATCAGGAACCAGATTCATAAAGGGGTCTCAGGGCAGGGGTGGTGATCTTTGGTCAGGTTCCCACTGACAATACTCAGCCTTAGACATTCACATTTCTAGTTCTACTCCAGGCTACTCCAAATGAGCATGCCGAAATCTACAGGTCATAAGTAATGAGCCACAGTCCCGGTCTGAATTCTGCATTCTTTGTTGATCGTTTGTCTCCATTTCTCTGCTCTTCGTCATGTAACCACAAACACTGAAGATCAGTTGCAGTTAATGTTGCCCTTCCAGGATGTTCTGCGAGCTCCCTGGGACCATTGGCTCTGTGCGAGCTTTTGAATAATGTAAGGCACGGTGACACGGCAGAGACTCACCAAGTTGACAGGAGTACTGATGTTGCTGTTCATCAGAGACACCAGTCCATTCACCAGATCACTGAAATAAAGACACAAGAACAAAGAGTGAGGACAGAGTGAAAGAGATGGGAGGTGAGAGGGGTGAGGGAAAGCAGGACAAAGAAAGGAGTCAAATCGAAATTCTACACCCACCTCTAATAATTGTCATTTATTTTTTTGGAATGTACGTACAGGGGAGGGTGCAGGTGGGCTGAGGCGACATTGTCTTTCGTTTTTTTTTTTTTTTATGATTTGGCAACAGCTAATATAGGGTCCTTAAATCATTGAGTTCCTTTTTTAAATTGCCATACCTCTGCTATTTGCTGGTGCGCATGTAGGGATGGGTTGTCTTCTCATGTCTTATTCACTTTTCGGAAATGCTTTAGCTGGCCCTGGATACTGTTGGTCGTGCCAATAACTGCCTCTTTGAGTCCTTGAATCCTGACTGTAACTGCCAGTTATCTCCTACTTATCGGTACTCATCTTCAAGGGGGGAGGTTGGTGGGATTTGTCATATTTTCTTTTTCTTTATTTTCTTTTACTACAGTACTTTGTTACTTCCTGTGCTGCTGATAAAGGCCCGCTTAGTACAGGAGGAGGAGGGTGGCAAGGACAGGTCTGGGCTTCCTACGGTTTCAATGGCTGATGTAACAATTTTTACAAGCCAGGAAGAGAACCAAGGCCGTCGCTAATGACTGCTTTAACTGCTCTGACATTTATTAGACATTGCTTACGATGCTGATGCATGTTCCCAGTCTGCTCCACTTCCACCTGTTACCGATGACTCACAGTCACGGCCATCACAGGCTCATTCAGCAGAGCTATTCATGAATGAACAGCACACTGCAATACCCTCACTGGCCAGAGAGGGGCAGCAGAGATCACAGAGAAAGACATAGCAGCATGTACACATCCCAGTCACTATTCTGCTTCTTACATTGTTTTAAAATGTTCACTCTGGTTCACTTAAAGCAAAATAAATATTCACATTTTCAAAAAACCCTTATATTACAGAAGGTACTTTGAACTGTGCTGCACTGAAATATTTCATGCAAAATACTTCAACACATTTCCTGTGTTCTCTCTGAAAACATATAATCTTTGCTCAAAATCTACCACATAAAGGGAGGCAAGCAATGCAATTAATCACTGGCACAGAATCACCAGGATTCTATTGTCAGCTACGACATTTACACAAGTTTAACTATTAACACACTGCAGCGCAGGCAGCAGTGAGCGCATGTCTTCTAATGATGAATGTAATGTGATGTGATACTCAGATTTAATGATACGCTTGCAATGTGGCTGAGAAGAATACTCCGATGCTGAGGAAAACGGGTAAAAACCAACCGTCCCTACAACAGAGAGGTGTCAATGTGGTGCACGGAGGCCATTTTGAGTGAGTTGTCAAACCACAGCCTGTTTTGGTCTCCAATCAGTAATGAGAGTGACTGTAATGATAATTGTAATATTGGTGATGAATGACACTGATGACATTGATGGTAGTGTGGTTGATGATAATGATGATGGTTTTGATGGTGATGATGATGAGGGTGGTGGTAGTGGTAAAGGTGAGTATTGGCTGTGTCAAGCTTCTCTTGAGTGTTTGTTATTCTATAACACGCTCCTTTAAAATCCATTCCATGGAGGGCCTGAAATCAGACCGCCCCCAGTACAGATTCTGCTGCCTTTCTCTGGGGCTGAGAGATGCAGTACAGTGATGAGCACTTTGCCCTCTTTTAAACCATGAGAGCTGCTGCTTTTGTCCTGTTGTCACCAAAACCACCCCTCCCCATCTTAAACTGTAACACCGCACAGTCAGTTATAAATACCCCTCTGTGATCCAACAAGACAAACTGACTGAAGGTACCTCACCAAACACAAACAAAAGAAAAACAAACAGACTCTGAACGAGCACAGTTTTACATTTTGGTTCAGCAGTGACATGTATTGGAGAATGAGTGACAGGGTACCGTAGAGTTCATGGGGTCTTCGGCAGATTATGGGGTGCAGAACCATGGCAACCCAATCTACAACAATGTGCACAGACTTCTGTTCCACAACACTCTAGTCATTTTAAATGACTTTCCAATCATTTCTGTACCTCCTGCATCAGATACCACTATAAATAAACTAAGATCAAAACAAATGTTTTCACATTAAATATATCATCTTCAATTGCAGGTCTGTAGAAGGCACAGACAAATTAGAAAACGAATACCACTCCAATCTAGAAATACAACAAAGAACAGAGCGATACTTTGATGTCCATGACAGCACAGCATCAACCAAGCAATGACAAAATAATGCCCTGAAACCATTCTTTTTCATCTAGGCCTCACTTTCCATTTTATATTAGCATAAATAGAACTGAGCAAAATTTTATATGTTCCACAATATTTTCTGAGGAAGGATTTGGTTACCATAGTGAAGTGATGAGAACTGACTCTGTCATGGTAAGCCTGTTTTGGGAACATCCTGGTCCAATAGAAGGCAAAACACTTGCTCTTCGGATGACTCTTCTAAAATGTTTTATCTTATGAATATTTCATTTTCATATTTTCACTTTTTGGTAGGGAAGACTGTCATGTAGCTAAGAACATTTCACAAACACGTTATCAGAGCTAAGAGTGAAACACTAAAAGGAAAAAGTGTCCCCTGTTTGGGATGAAAAAAAAATGATCGATAACAGCGTGAGCCAATCAGCTATTGGAGCAGTCCTCTGATTGGTTCAAATACATCATGTGGTAGTGCCATCCATTTTGGGATTCATGAAGCCTTTCACTACTAGCCTGTGCTTGGTTTGTCTGGCTTTATAATGTTTCTGGATACTGCACTGATATATTTTTGCAGAATTGCTCTTGGTTTGCCTTTGGGACTACGCATTCACATTGAAGCAATAAATTAAACATTAAATTGCATATCATATCATATCTATATTCAGTACATCTTATCAAGTGCATCTAAAAACAAAATCTATAATTCATCTCCACAACATGCCCATCAATAACCCACAAGCTAACCAAAGGCTCAGAAATTCAATGACCATCCATTTGGTCTTGATCAACGGAGACGTAAAAAACTAAATATGGGATAACAGATGACTGTCTTCAGACAAAGGACTTCCTGCATGACACCAGAATCTCTTCCTGAATGTCTTTTTTTCTAATCTAAACTTTCCCATCCTTTGAGAGCTTTGCCTCGACGCTGTGGTTAAACTGCC